TTGTGGAAGTGACCCTCTTTGGGTAAAAGCCTACATGAAGCTAAATTTGAAAATGGGCTAAATCAAAACATTACTCAGAGGCCGTTTGGCAACACTGTTTTTCGGCTTATCAGACTTATCAGCCAACTTTTTCACCAAACACGTAACTTTTGCTTTCACGCGCTGAATTATGTCATAAGTAGAAAAAGTAAGGTTGGAGTTACTTTTCTGGCTGTATTGGCTGAAGTTACTGTACATGACCATTTTAGCTATTTTTACATATAATTTTTTCTTTATTTTATTAATAAAATATATTTTAAAAATATTGTTTTCTTAAATCAGCAGAATCAGCCAATGCAGCCACTTCAGCCAGAACTTCATAAATTTCAGCAGAATCAGCCAAAACAACCGATTTTGGTGCTGCCAAACGGGCTCTCAATATTGCTTTTGTTCAATCGGAATGTCAATTCCTAAAGTATCTAGCGCAACTCAACGGCGGTAAATTTTATGGTACACCCAAAAACATCAAGGACATAGTACAACCGACATTTTTGTAATTAGTTACAACTTTCAGAGTAATAATAAGGTTGAGTTACACTGTATTCATTTTACTTCCGGCACATGCGCTCCTAGCCTCCTCCTGCGCTAGTCGTTATTGTTTTTTAGAGAAGAAAGCTTAAATTATACTCCTCACGTCCTTTTTTATTTAGCCAAACACTATTTTTCAAGTCAAAGTTGTTCAACTTTGACCAATTATGTATGTATACACGGTAATATTGATAATATGAAAATTATATGAAAATGTTCTTTGTTGAAAATACTATCATAAAAGGATAAATTTATTAACTTTCACATAAATATATTAGTTAAAATAATGGATCAAAGTTTATCATCTTTGACTGAAAAAAGTCAAAGATGGCTAAATAAAAAGGGAGTCAACAAGCCTTCCCCACCTACTAACCATCCTCAAGTCAACAAGCCCTTTCACTCCCTCATCAAACATCTAATAGACAATCCAAATATGAGTGAGGCTATTCGTTGAACATACGAGAGATTTAAAGCTACTATCGTCCGAAACAGCCTGATTGCTTCCATAGAAACTGCTACTTGCCAGAATAAAAACCAGAACCAACCTACCTACCCAAGAGTCAAGAAAAACAATAAAAATAATGTGCTTAGACAAAATGATTATAGTAATTGAAAAGAAGTAATTATTAGCAAATATCCTATGAAGACTTCACTCCATCTTTATTCTCAAATTTTAGTGAGCTTGTCAACAGTGAGACAAGTGAATTGCAGAGTTGCAACTCGCCTCCTTCTCGTGTTTTGTCTCATGCAACTCCACCTCCATCTTTATTCTCCTTCTCGTGTTTTGTCTCATGCAACTCCACCTCCATATTACTACTGGCAAGCTCCTCCTCCTACTCAACTCTCCTACGCTTTTGCTCGATTTTGGGTCTGCCTGCTTCTTTGATATTCCAATCGCCAAGGTACTCTGCCTTCCAACACTAGAGCCGATCTCTGCCCGCGCTTCGCTTTGAGATTGTACCTTGTCAACCGGTACTACCCACTTGATGTCTCCCGACTGAACTATCCCCTTAGTGGCCCTCACCCACGGCCCAAACGGTTTATCTCCCACATTTATGCAACTCCCCAATGATTCCACACAAGAAACAAAAACTAGTCAGTTTCTCATAACAAAAAGTAACACGAAAGTTAACTCATTTTTGTAGAAACAATTTCCTTCTCAGAGGTCTACTTAGATTCAAACTAACTCTGATCCTCATGAAGGGGTTCCATTTAACCGAGAAATTATACTTATCAACATTAATGAACTTTCCCACAAAATTCCCAATTTTCACAGCATTGTCCGTAGTAAATAACCTACCAGAATGTCATGAACTTGAATCCAAAACTCACTCTCTTCAGGGGTGTTGCCATAGGTAAATCCCCTTCCCCGAGCTTATACAGAAGGATAAGATTCTGATAAAAAATTCAGGGACCTTTCTCCAAAACATCCATCATATTACTCTCATTATAAAATTGGAACATATAACGTCTATTTCTGAATTTAGTGATAGTAACAACTTAAATAGGTCTCTAAACGGAAGCCATAGTATCACGGAAAGTAGAGAAACATACCGACTTTTCCGATGTGATAGTCCCGACAAGCGCTAGACTCCCATCCGCCGCACCAAGAGCCGTGACTTCCACCAATAATATAGTCTCGTTTTCTTTGTTCATCTCCATAATGTTGTACGCCAGGGCCATCTTCTCCACCTCATTTTGTTCGTGGTCCGCCTCCATCTCCTACCCAAAGGTCTGCATGGATATTCCAATTACCCTCAGTCCTCTGTCGCCAAAGGAAGACTGCTTCCTCCTCGCAATCGTATGCATCAACTTTCTTCTCCAGTCTTTCTATATCTCCTACACACTATTCTTCTTCTTCTTAAAAGTAACAATTCTCAGTCTTTCTATATCTCCTACACACTATATGTTTTGTTACCTGTGTAGGCCACACTGGTGCAACGAATACAAATAACACATGTTTGAGCTCTACATCCTCTATAATGGTTTAGCTTATGCCTTATGTGTGTGTTTTAAATTTTACGACACTTCTAAAACACTTTAGTATTCAAATGAATAATCAAAATTAGCTTATATTTAACTTTAATATCTAAACAAGATAGGTTTTACGTTTCAAAAAGATTAAGAGCCCGTTTGGTTGAAGGAAAATCGGCTGGTTTGGCTGATTCTGCTGAAATTTCGGAAGTTCTGGCTGAAGTGGCTGCATTGGCTTATTCTGCTGATTTAAGAAAAAAATATTTTTAAAATATATTTTATTAATAAAATAAAGAAAAAATTATATGTAAAAATAGCAAAAATGGTCATCTACAGTAACTTCAGCCAATACAGCCAGAAAAGTAACTCCAACCTTACTTTTTCTGCTTATTACACAATTCAGCACGCTAAAGCAAAAATTACGTGTTTGGTGGAAAAATTGGCTGATAAGCCGGATAAGCCAAAAAGGGTGTTACCAAACGGCACCTAATAGCAAGTAATACCACTTTTTTAAAAAAAGAAGAAGATGGTTTTTAATTAAAAAAAAAATCTGGTCCAATACTAGTGCGGTTCAGTCGTACCCGGTATAATCCGGTTTGGTCCGGTCCAAAACCTGAATTATACAGGTCCAGTCTTCGGGCTCATAGCTATGGTCCGGTCCGGTTTGGTCTTGGACCAATGCTCACTTGTAGAATGGACATATAGTAAATTTTAGCAAGTCTAATATGACCTATAGTGCGAATGTTAGATGAGATGATAAGGATTATTTGACTCAGCTGCTTAGAGCTAATGGGGATCAGGGGAGATGAAGATATCTCAAATTACCATCCTTAGTAGGGAGGAGAAAAAGGGAAATATTTTCGTCTACTAAAGAGAAAAGAGTGCAGCGTGTTCAGGGATGGAATGCCCCTTTTCTAACCCCTTTTCTATTAAAAGTGTGATGGGAAGTTTTGTTGAAGACAAACATTCAAGTTTTGCCCTGATATGCTATGAATATTCTTACTTCCAGTCGACTTGTGTAAGGAAATGGAGAGAATCGTGAATGGTTATCAGTGGAAAACAAGTTGGGTTTACTGAAGAAACACAATCCTTTTGAATTTTTGCATAATGGACAATGTTCTTTCACATGAATGCTTATAATGCTATGTTGGTATATATGGAAGGCTTGCAATGTTAAAGCTCGTAAGCAGACGAATGTGGGATGACAGAGCATAATCACTTGTGCAGAGCATTGGAGATATGTACCGAAGAATGAAACGATAATTTGTAATGAGCGGGAGAGGTGGAAATGCCAAGGGAAAGGTGTCCTAACTCTTGAAGCTGAATGTTGATCAGCCACACCGCCTAATGGTCTCCATAAGGGTCTTGGAATAGTTTTGCACTTGTGCGGGATGAGATGGGAGCTTTCATTGTTTCACGGTATCAAACTTGGAGGGGATCCTAGCTTTGAGGCTAAGGAAGCTGAAAGTTTAGCTATTTTATGCTGGGCAAAATAGATGGGTTGGGAGCACTTAGTTATCAAGTCCCACACTCAACAAGTTGTTCATGATATGGCTCAAAAAATGTCTTCCTATAGTGACGTGATGATAATAGACACATGCACTGTTCTAAAAAATGATGTTAGGCGTCCGACTAGTCTCCACCTAGGCGCTAGGCGGTGGACTGGCGCTCCGATTAATTGGTTTGGCACCTAGGTGAGTTAATCAACTATCTAGTGCACCTAGTTGGCCGCCCGGAGCGCTTAATCGGCCTCCTAGGAGTCTAGATTGACCGAACATTTTTTTTTTTGTTTTTTTGTTTTTGTTTAGCAAGAAATACGTAGTATGTATCTTTAACTTTAAGAAAACATATGAAGAAAGCTACTAGTTGTACATTACGATAAAAATTATACTTTGTACATGTTTGTGTATAATCTTAAACATTGTTATTATTTAATAATATTTTTATTACATAATGAAGTTAAGTGAGTATGTATAATATAATATGATTTTTTTTGTTTTGTTTTACTCCAGGGGGGTCTGGGGGGGCCTGGAGTAATCAGGGCTAAAACTCACTCCATTGAGTTTCGAACCCTTATGTGCCTAGCGGGTTTCGAACTCGAGACCTCCACTAGGCACGGTAACCTTACAACCAGCTGGGCTGGAATGCTTGGTGTGTGTGTATTTCTTTATATACACACAAACACAACATTACTATCATATTTATGCACAAATGTTGATAAAACTATAATTTATATATGACTACTCACCGCCTAGGCGCTAGGCGATGGATTGGCATCCGACTAGCATCTAGCGCCTTTTAGAACATTGGACACATGGTTGCGCTTTTTGCGAACATAGATGTCCACTTCAAAAAATAATCAGCAAATCAAATTGCTCATATGTTAGCAAAGCGAGATGTTTTCCTTGTCTAATTGAGACTCTTGACATAATGTGCCTCCTATTCTTTTTTTTTTCTCTTTTTTTAAGAAAGGAAATTTTATTAAAAACGAACAAAGGAAATACATGAGGAGACAAAATGGAGAAAAAAAGTGAAAAAGGAGAAACAAGAAAAAGGAAAACGAAGATAGAGATGACCTAACCCGAAGCATGCAAGAGACCCAAATGTAAACAAAGAGACCACCCAGGAGACCCAAATAGCTCAATCTAAATAGTATAACTCCATGTGTGATTGCGATCTAGTCTTCATGGTATGCGATCGCTGGTGCCTTTTCCTGTATAATTTAATCTGAGTATTTAAGTTTGACGTAGGCAAGCAATTATCCTTTGTGACCAGTCTTGCATTAAAACAAATATCCTGATTGGTATCGGAGTCCCATAGATCTTCCCTTGATGACAAAGGAGTCCTCTTCTCGCTTTCCGAAGCATGACCAAGAAAATCATCTCCTGAGAATGGATAGCTTTGCTCAGTCTCAGGCGCAACAGAAAGCTGATTACTAATAAAAACGTCTCCCAAAGCATTGACTTCCATATTAGCGTGGTTAATAATTTTTCCTTCTTCTTCAGTCTGTTTATGAATTGAGCCATGATCACCCATAAAGAAGTAACGATCCTCTCGAATTCTCTAATTAAAAAAGCAGAAAGAGAATCCACCCCATTAGTCATGGTGTTTTGAAAGTAATCTTTAGTGATTGCTAAAGAGGGGGTGAGTTCCTGTGTAGGCTCAGAGCATTGAGATTCCTCAACGTAATTTAGTGCCATAGATTTGTCAAAGCAGACAGAATGCTCAATATCAACTTGTAACAGTAATCTCGAAATAGAGAAATCATAGATCCCATCAGACGATGGAATGGTGATATCCCACACAGAGTTAGAATCCACGCTTTCTGAAATATTCTTACTTGGGGCATGTTCAATCGCAAGATGTGGCGAGGCGACATCTAATTTATGCATAAAAGAGATTGCTTTAGATAGTCCAGCAAAAAACGATTAAACCCCAATCCATTACGTCCTTCAAGAATAAATGAGGAATCTCGTCCCTTGTCAATGATGCAGATAAACCCACCGAAGAAATTGGCATCATAAAGAACACAAAGAATTATTCAACTGTATTCGGGAACCAGACCAATTGTCAGACAAGAGTTTAGGGAAAGAGTTTTTTAACCAAAAAACCTTTTCCAAATCAAGCTCGATAGCAGAAGATATTCCCAGTTTCATCTCAGATATGCATAAATTGCTACCAAAAATCTTGAATTGAAAGGATTTACTTTCAATTAAAATGCTAAACCCATTGGACTGAAAATTGGAACTAGCAGATTCGTTTACCCGTGGTCTGTGATGCCAATTCAGCTTGTAAGAACCATGTGTTACGTTGGGAGGATGCAGGCGGCGCTGATATTTGACCGGGCCTTCCTTGTCCTGCCGCCGCTGAAAAGGAAAGGTTCTGGCCGAAGCAATTGTCCGTCCTCTTCGCCTCAAGTTTGACTGACCCCGTCTGTTGTAATCTTGCCAGCAGTAAGGATCCTCGGATGCATCCTTGCCCGAGCAGAACTCTCTTTGTCGTTGCTTCCGGCATCGAGCTGCTAGAGTTGTCCGTTGTCGGTCTGGTACAAGCATCCCTGTCCGGTTGCAATTGTTAGTCTCGCGCGCAGTTCCTCCATCAGGAAACCCCCTTTTATAAACTGGTAAAACTTGCTCTCGCGCCTCTAAATTTATCCCCTTCTGTCACAGGTTATCGCCTAAGAGTTTTTGTTGAGATGGAACCTCATCTTGCCTGATGTGGACAACGATGGTGCCAAAAGTGAGGGAGGATGTCTGCTCCTTGTTCACTGTATCCCTACCTTCCCAAGCGTCGGCAGATTCGCCGGATTCCTTAACGGCCGCCAGAGCGCTGAACCCTAGCTCCCTATCGTTTATGTACATAATGTGCCTCCTAATTGTATTGTGAACTTCGTGGCTTTGAATAATTACTAGACGCAATTCCAGTGCGATGCACGGGTACATCTAAAGCATGATAAAAATTTGTTTAAAATTAATTTATATTATGATGATACGTAATATACAATTATTTTAAATAAATAAAAAATATAGTAGAGTATATGAGTTGTAACTTTGATTATACTATCCTCCGTATCACATTAGTTGCAACATTGCAATTTGTACACTATTCATGTCTTCTACTTTGACTACATTTTATTTATTAATTAATGTGGATTATTATTTTTGAAAAATATGGTTAAATTCGTCTCATTATTAAGTTTCATAATCTAATTTTTAATTATTTTTTTACTAATACATAATTAAATATAATGACGGTCAAAGTTGTGTGTTGGCAAACGTGAAAAAGAGAATGTTGCAACTAAAAAAGAACGGAGGAAGTATAATTGTGGTTTGTAGGAAAAAGGAAAATGTTGATTGTATGAAAAGTTGCAAGTAAATTTGAAATAAAAGGTAAGAAGGAAGAATAAGTAGTACTTCATAATGAAATACCACGATTCTACACTTGAAGTGTCTCCTTCGATGGCTCTAAGGAAGCTCTATAAAAATGAATTGTCATCTATGTTGGTACTGTGCAAAAAGGATCATAGCTATTAGAATAGTTCTTTATAAACCATAGTATCAATAATGTAGGTAGCACGACTCTTTTAATTACATATAGAATTTCCAACTCACTCTTTGAGGTGACCATTGACATGACAACATATAACTGGCTCTTTAAGGTAACCCTTGACATGACATCTGACATGTACTATCATTACTCAAATAGTTCATTTCTCCATACATCAATGAAATCATTTATTCGTGTCAAAATAAACATTTGCTGAAAATACGATAGATCAATCATGTTCTCCAGAAATGATGGAACGTCCTAGCAACAATTGATGTAATAGGGACATTTGAAGTGATAATAAATATACTATGGTGTATATCAATGAAGACATCTCCATATATGACATTCTTAATATTTTCATTTCCTATTTTGAGCACCAAAACCGGGAAACTTTTCAATTCATCGACTTTACAATGTGAAGAAAAACACAGTATTGATAAAAGGTATATTGTGATGTATTAACATATAAAAATGTTAAAACAATATTTAGTTTTATAACTAATGCAAGTACAAAACGTTAAAAATAGGTTATATAAACCCAACACAATGTTTTTGCACCAGCAAATGCAAGTGAATGACCATATGTATAGGATGAACACATATTTACTCCCTCGTCCCATTAGAAGGTTTCCACTTTCCTTTTTTGGACGTCCTATATAAAGGTTCTCATTACCATTATAAGAAACAATTAACAATATTAAATGACAAATTAATCATTAAATATTAAAAATAATACATTTATAACATCACAGTTATAAAAGCAATACTTCTTTCAGATTCTTTGCGAGTGGATCAGAGGTAATGTCTATACACCAAATAACATACTACCTCCGTCCCGTTGGAAGGTTCTCATAGCAAAACGACACAGTTATTTAGACAATAATTAAATAAAGTACTTCGAGTATATATTGAGAAATAATTTTAATAGGTATATATTATTATGTAGTTAGTATTGATAACTGTGATGTTATAAATGTATTATTTTTAATACTTAATGATTAATTTGTCATTTAAGATTGTTAATTGGTTCCTAAAATAGAAATGAGGACCTTTGTATAGAACGTCCAAAAAAGGAAAGTGGAAACCTTATAATGGAACAGAGGGGTAAATATGTGGTCATCCTATACATATGGTCATTCACTTGCATTTGCTGGTGCAAAAACATTGTGTTGGGTTTATAGAACCTATTTTTAACGTTTTGTACTTGCATTAGTTGTCAACTAAATTTAGTTATCAATTACACACATATTTTCTTACAAAATACATCACAATTTCACAGGGACCTACATTTCATTTCTCATCGGTCACTACGTCCTACCAAACACATTCGTGGGTCTGTTTGACAAGATGTGAGGACAGTGTCAAAGTCACACGAGTTAATAATTTCAAGATGAACGAAGTATATATGAAACCAAATAAATATATAAAACGGCCAATTTTTGGGGTAAATATTAGTGGGTACTACTTTATCGTCAATGCGAAGCTAGTACCATGGACAGGGATGAAGCTCCAATATGAACCTTCTTTGTCAATACAACAGCTATGCCATCTGATTTCATAAGAACCGACAGGAAAAGCAGAAGTATCCAGCAAGCAGGTAGAGAATCCTTGCCATTTCTTCTTGTTAACCTCAAAACACACAAAACTGAAACTTCCTCCTCTGGTATCATCATCATCAATGCTGCCTCGGGTGTACCTCATTAACTTTCTATTCAGATATACCATGTTATCAATTTCATTTTGGGAGCCTAGATATTTTTTATGCTCCTTATTGTTGCGACCATGGGAAGATTTTTGGAAGGATGCTGGTCCACAATGAAGAACGCAGTACAAGTTGGACATCTTGCAGGGCCAGTTGCTTAGCTGAAGGCACAAATTTAGATGGAGAACGATGCCTGATGACACAGATAAACCGTCTGATTTTTCTCCATCCTCTCCTATCAAGAATAACTCGGAACCGACACATGGCCTGCAATTATTTTGATATTTTCAGCTAATTCAAATATCAGATAATATAATTTAATAGTATATATAGAACTTATTTATATATTATTCTCTTTAACTTATTTATATGACACTTATTTATATATTGTTCTCTTTAACTTATTTAATGAGTAAAATGACACTTCAACCATCATTTTATATATTGTTCTCTTTACCTTAATTATAAAATGCATCTGAATTAATATCTTAGGCAATTAAGCAAATTCAGCCACAAATTTAATAGAATCATCCACTTCAGAGAATTTGGGCATTAAAACACAGCATGTTTTTATCATTTCTAGATCATTAATTAAACTGGAGTATTAAAATATGTTGCCGAGGTAGGTAGGATGTCATCATCATCAACATCACCATTACCCCAGTGCCGCAAAGGCTCTCACCTACGGTGGGGGATAGGGCTGTTAACGAACCGAGCTTTTATCGAACTATTCGAGTTCGAGCTCGGTTTCGAACCTAACGAGCCGAGCTTAACGAGCTTTCAAACTCGAACCCGAGCTGAGTTTTAAGTTCAAAAAATTAATCGAGCCGAGCTCGAACATAGTAGTATTCGGCTCGATTCGAACTCGAGCCTATCGAACACCCAAAAATTATAAATATAATTTATATATAATCAAAATTTAAATATAATAAATATGATTTTATGAATTTAAATATGAATATTAACAAACCGAATACTTGTCGAATCATTCGAGCACGAGCCTATTAACGAGCATCACCTAAAATTTTAAATTCGATCATATTTATCGAGCTTATCGAGTGCTCAGTTCGAACATCAAACGTCTATCGAGCCGAACACGAGCCTCATTTGTAAAGCTCACCGAGCTTCGAGCTTGAATCCGAACACCATTAATTCCTTATCGAGCCGAATTGAGCTTTAGGTGTTCGGGCTCGGCTCGGCTCGTTAACAGCCCTAGTGGGGGACCTAGTGGGGGAAGGGGGTCAGATGTACGCAGTCTTACTCATGTACTAAAGCACATTAAATGCTCAGCCCCTATACTAAAGCACACAAGAAAAATGATCAAGATCATCAATGTCAAGATACCTTAGTTGAAAGAAGTGCTTTGGGGTCCAGCAAGTAATCCGGATCCAAAGTGATAGAACGTTGAACAGCCGCTTAGAGGCCTCACTGAGAAACCTGGATTTGTTGATCTCCTTAAGATCATCACCATCAGGTGATTTACCATCAGTAAGCAGCTCATTTTGCAGTTCAAGAATAACTCTTACAGCATATCGACAAAGTTTTGCAACTTCGCAACCTCCAGAGTAGTTGGAACTTGGATTTCTCAACTGTGGCAGGAAAACAGTATTTGGAGTGAGCTTCGAAAGCAATATTTTCCTGGTTTCGTTGTCCATGTGCAATAATAATCTACCAAACAAATCATGTGATAGCATAGCAAAAATTTGCTCATCCACCACTTGATCACTGATGATACCTTCAGAAAAATTTGCCATGAGACAATTTAAGAAGGCAGTTGTGAAGGCCAAAAGTGAGCAACTTTGAGAAAGTGATGAGACAACAGTCCTACTTTCTCTGTCTATGCCAATGAAAGATGTTGCAAAAAGGTCAAATTCTTGTGATAAGCTCTTCATCCTCACAGACACTTGGACAAAAGGGTTCTGTAGTGAATATGATGTACCAGAAGAAGAATATGTTGATATCAAGAGTTTAATAGAATCTAACACCGCTTCAACAACCTTTACTCTCAAAGTGAGAAACCATCTCTGAAAACAGAAAGCGGGGCCTGAAGTAGAGCTGTCACCACCACCAAGTCTACACACGGAAGAACGAAGGTCATTGCAAGCACCAAGAATAGCTTCAATGTAAGAGCTTTTTCCACAAGTCGTGATCTGAGTGAGATCAAAGTTAACCAACGATTGAAATTCCCTTTCCGTACGTGAGAGGCAAGTCAGGGATTCCAACCAAGAATGACAGGCTTTAGATTGGACAGTGGTACTAAGTTGTTCAAAAATAAGAGTTGCCGTAATCCATGCTCCCTGACATACTGCATACTTTCCAAGTTTGTAACACAGCCAATGTTCTTTTCTTCTTCCCAAAATAACCCTCACATATTCAGGAGTAGAATGTTCATACTCATGAGGAGAGGGACAGATGTTTTCAGTAGAATTCATAATTCTGCACAATAAACTGTATTTCAAGCATGAGTGCAGTAGGAGATCATAGATTACATGTATATGAATATGCAGTGATCTGCAACCACATACATGTTTAACAAGGATCTTGATAGTGCCAATAACCTCGGAAGTAGAACTCCAATTTTCTTGATTCTGGAAGAAGCAGTTACGAATAACCTTTGATGCGCATATCATAATTCTTTCAAGTGCAGCCGAGTTACTGTTCTCTTCTGGACGAGGAGGATCTATGGAATTATCATCAATATTTAGCTTTTTTGTAACTTCATTCCACGCATTCACCAAGCCACTAATAAATAAGCACATTTTGTCCAGTAAAAGGACACCAAGTTCTTGCTTCTTTTCAAACAAATCAAGTAAGAGACTGAATAAGCATTTGATCTCCTGATCCACCACATCGTTAGGTTGAAGAAGAATATATTCATTCGTCTTAACCATGAGAGAGAGGCGATCCATGGAAAATGAGATGATTTTAGATGCCACAGTGGAGCTTATCTGATCTGATGATGCCTCCCCTTCCATTCTTTCAAGAAGTTTGACAGAAACATCTCCTAAGATATGAATGGCTAATAACCTCTCTGAGATCATAATAACTGAAGATTCTAAAATCAGTTGTACACATACTAGGAATCTGGAGAAAATGGTCATGGCCTCCACATGAGGAATTCTGTGTAAATTATACAAGAAAACCTGTAAAAACCGAAAGAAGTGAGAGAGGTTTATATGATATTATATCACTACTATAAATAGATCCTATTTGGTAAGAGTCATTTGGATTAAATGGCTATGACTCAGATTGCTAAATTTTCTTAAAGAAGTGTTTGGTAAATCCATTCAGCCGAATAAGTAAAGGGCTACTTTTTTGAAGAGGAATAAGCCAAACTATACTACGGAGCCATAGTTTAGTAGTTCGGGTGGCAGAATATCTTGTAAAACATTTTGAATGCCACAAACAAGATATTTAATAAGGAGAATAAGCCAATTCATTCTACCAAATGGAACCATACTTTAGTAGTTTAGGCAGCAGAATACCTTGTAAAAGATATTTAATGCTACACACTGCAAATCTGGAGATAATTTGGATTCATTCAGAACTCCAAAAAACTTTAGGACTGAGTGTGTAGTACTCTCAGGGAAGATAACTACATGGCATAAAATAAAGTCAAGGCATTTTATTGCAGTAGCTTGCAGGCATGAAGCTCTCATCTCCTGTGAAATTAATGAGATAAGCAATTCTACCTGTCCATCGAAAAAAGGAAAATTAATAATGAGTGGAGTACTTCATTCACTTTTCTACTTGCACTTAGTTAGGTTTACCTGTACAGGAATCAGTGAGGTCCATTTGGAAGCAATTTTTGAAAGCGAAATCAGCATAAGTTTGGAAAACTCTTCTTCTGGGAGGTAGTCTAACATCAGCTTCACACCTCTCTGCAATAATAATACATCATTTAAAAGTTGGCACTGCACAGCTGCAACAAAAGTTTGTACCACCACATATGCACATAAATGGCATAACTTATCCATGATAAATTAATATTTGAAACAAAAAAGAACCCTTTCATTCCAGTAGATATATAGTTGTGCACATATTGACACACCACTATGCAACAGGAGTTAATAGAGTAACACGGAACAACAAAATAACTATCACACTCACAGATAGAAACTGACAATGACAGTTACAAATATGAAAATAAGTAAGAAAGGGACGAAATGACGAATAACTAGTCGGCAATCATACTAATTGTTTGATGAGAGTCATAGAAAAGACCAAATAAAAGCAGAACCTTGTAAGCTCTATCTGCAAGCAATATTGAGAACCATAATTGTGCAAAAGCTCGGCCTGCAGCTAACCTTATAGCCGTTGGCGTTTCATGCGACATCAAATTTACAAGCATCTCCAAATGTACAGCAGCGAAATCATGATTAGCTAATTCACAAAAGCATCCCGCAGCAAATAAAGATGCCTTTACCTGTAGATATATTGTGGCAATGTTATTTATTTGTCTAAAAGACCTAGCTACTCAAATGGACCAATTGTTCAGTCACAGATTCACATGTCTCTCAAAAAGTCAAACGACAAAAAAGAGAAGAGCCATAAGCAGAAATAAATCATTGTTAAATTTATTTAAAACACATGGAGTAATTTTAGTTTCAACCTTATACAAATAGGACCATTGAATTGGAACAAACTTGTCATATTTTTTCTTTATTGGGAAATGGCATAAGATAAACAAACACTTAATACTCCCTCCGATTCTTAATTAAGTTCCTGATTTGACTTCACACATATTAAGAAAATAAAATTAGTGAGGGGTAAATTTTACTGTAGAGCACACTGTTTTGACGTTGTTTGGCACTGTTTTGGTGTAGAATTATTTGCCAAATAAGGAAGTAGAAACTTGCTTGGGACATCCAAAAAAGGAAAGTGAGAACTTAAATACGGGACGGAGGGAGTATGTTTTCTGGGAAAACATTGCGCAGTGGACTGGGGCCTAAAGCTCAGGCTTGGCATCGATACAATTAAGCAGGGTCAGTTTGGTAGGCCACCATGTAAGCGTAAACGGAGAAGTCGGGGATTTTCAGAACAAAATACTTAATTTTTACTCAATCATCGGATTCATAGTTTAAGAGTGATATTAATAGTCTTAATAAAGCACTTCAAAGCATTATTTTATAAAGGAATGGACCTTGCCTCCTGAATATTTTTTGAAACCAAGCTTGAAAGGACGATGCATCTTAAATCCGCATTATCTTTTGCAATACCTGCCAAGCAACCAAATAGAACCAAAGTCATAGCTCTATCCTCTGAATCACCAGTGTCAAATACAGACTTCAATCTTGTTAGAAGCTCTACATGGCTGCCCAACTTGCCCTTGGATATGATGCCATGGCAACCCCATCCCCTCCTATTCGACATGAAAATCTTTACAATGCACACCCTTGTGTGTTTGTCCCCAGACTTGAATGCTTCCGCAAGCCTTAGAAGGACTGCATCAGCAAATAGTTTATCTTCTCCAGGTATCAATCCAAATAGTTTGTATTCAGATACTGTAAGAATAGATTCACTATTCCACCGTTGAAGTCTCTGTCCAATCTGAAGAATGGCTTCACCTGAATTACGATAACCCAATCACTAATAGGAAAATGAGAATAAAATGAAAAAACCCAGAAAAGGGATATTGAACTATCTTTAGATGATCATATTCCCCTTTTTGGGGAGATTAATCTAGCCTGTTTGCAATAAGAACAAAGAAGCATAACGTCTTGGAAAATGAAAATGCAAGATTTAGAGCCTGCTTGGTAGCAACTGCCAACATCTACTTATTCGGCTTATCAGCACATAGGTAGATCTTGACTTACTTATTTGGCTGAAATTGATGCTACCAAATGTTTTCCTCACATAGAATTCAGCCAGATAACCCTTACCAAGCAATCTCTTAAACTCTTACCCGATCGTTTAGAACGGAGGCCCTTCTCAAGATCTACACTCCACTGCATAGCCAAAGCAGCCGCTGTTCTGTCCATCTTTCTCTCTGTTGTTGCCGTGTAAGCAATCAATTACAAATGGTTGACACAGCATATAAACTTAATCACTATGATTACCAGATATGCTAATGCAACAAATACACAATGAAACAAATTGAAAATTTGAAGTCTCAGTTACTAAAATATATATAAACAGAACCGTGAGGCAAAAACTGTTCCCGTCCTGGAATCGTGAGTATACGTGGAACACAGTTTCCACATATTTAGCTAACATTAATGACAACTGTAATTACAAGTAGCGATATCAGCAAAAGAATAAAAGACATGTATACACGTGCCACCAAATTGTATAACCGGTAGTGATATGTATACACATCAATAATTAATCGTGATTTTAAGAATTTTTGCTGATCGATCACCACTTAGAGGTAATGGATAAACATGGCAGTAGAACTTCTCATATTTGTATATGTGGCAGTAGATCTTCGTGGCAATCTGGAATATTCTGTATTTGTACGGTCCAGATTTTGTTGATGGGTATTGTACTTTGTTTACGGTAACGGTGGTTGCATCTGGCAGTTTCTATTCAGCACTTTACAGGACTTCAACTTCCAGCATTATTAGAGGTTACATTGATGACAGTTTCCTAAACCGTTCGTGCAGAAAGTCACATGTTTAGTAAGTTAGTATAGTAGAAATGGGCTTCTCTGACACTCAGAGTTCATTCACGAAAACAAGTGTACATGTCTCACAAACTGATATTTTATTTGTGATGACTACTATCTCAGAAATGTTATTCTAAATGTTTTTATTTACATACTCCATTTTTCTCCACATATGATGTTATGAAACTAAATTTTTATTTTTCTACATCAGTTTGGCTATGGCAGTTATTAATATCACGTTTTAATCTCTGTTACAGTGTGTCCTCTAAAACAAACTGGGTAATGAGTAAGACTGGTGCGTGCACATGGATGCCCAGTTCACAAGAACAAAAATATAAGCAACACATAGGAGAGCATATTTCTTGATCAGGAGGTATGTTTAAGCCTTTTTTTGTTATAAACCAAGTAGAATAATCTGATCACAATGAAACTTCAGATCAGTAAACTTAATTGACAATCATGCAATCACATTAAAGCCATATGGTTGTAAACTTAATTCAGAAATCTATTACTCTGTATATTATATTCATTCTACTTTTCTATTGAAACAAACAGGGTGAAATGTGATTGGATAGATTATTACCAATGAAGTTTACAGACCTGGAATATCATTGCCAGGTAAGCTTAGTGATCTGAAATATCATTACCACACACATGAAAGTGAATTTGATTTAGTAAGTTTACGTATAGAAATTCATTTATATCCAACACAGAAATTAAAGTGTTCAGATTTCAATTCAATTAAAAATATTTATGGAATCACATTAACACATAAAAATTCATGGAAAGTGTAATTATTTATAAGTAGATTTCTTAATTACATCAACACATATGTGCCAAAATTTAACAAACACAAAATTATAAATGCATGCGCATTCATTAAAAATCCAAAATGAAAAATGGTGACAATATTGTTGGCACGAGTTTAAGTTTGTTCTAAATAATAGAGGCATGAGCTTATGTTTGTTTTTAAGATTGAAATTCCACTAGGGTAGTTACTCTAGAACTCCATAAAACGGCTTTCATTAAAGTTCAGCTAATTAGCACTATACAAATCAAGTTATATTCTATATGTGTTTAGTTCCCCTTCTATTTGTGTAGCCTTTCTAATTTCTGTTTGGTTTCTCCTAACTAAAAGAAGATTTAGTATTCTAGGTGTTGCTATTGTTTCTGTGATAGCTCAGAAACACTTGCAAATGAAAAACAAACCAAAACAATTAGGCAAAAACGCCTACAAGCATGTAATAAGTCAATAATAATAATAATAAGAAAGCAAATAATAGTTTTTTATCCTTTTTGGGACGAAGACTTGGAAGTTGTTGTTGATCCTCTTTAAAAAACTATTCTTACCTTAGTCCGAAATCTTATCTAGAATTTCCAAATGTTGGCAATAAGGTGAGTGCTTCCTGCCTGACCTATATTCAACAAAAAAGAAATCTGAGTTAGAAGGCCTTGATATTCTTGATGTGGTATGATCCTTCATATGTAATGGTGCATTCTTAATTGTATGGGAGGAGGGTACTAACTACTCCGTATTAAGTAGGCTTTTAAATTCCAGAGCTTTTTGCTAATTACAAAAAGCATTGTTATTCTCACCGCTTTTTGGAGTTCAAATTAAGTAGAGCAGTGGACTAAGGCCTTTTATTTCTAGGAGCGCATTCTAAGCAAACAAACAAAAAATCACATGCACAAGTCTATTACTGTATACCCACGAACCTATATCTGATACTAGTATAAAATTAACTCCAAAACTTTTTTAACGGGAAGACAGACTAAGCAAGCAATGATTATACAAGAGAGAAGATAAATAGGGAATGGAGGGAGTATCATTTAACATGACTATCACTTAATCTCCATACAATCTAAAACAAAAATACAAAATCAGGAAGTCAAAGAACGAACCTCATAGGCTCATAACAATGTCCTCCAAGCTCGGTCTCTTAAGTACTGATAAAAATTGAAAGCCAATTAGGAGAACAACCAACATAAGATTCGAAATAAATAAGGAAATAGATTGAATGAAATTACGAACCTCATAAAACTACACGAACGGTGTGCAGGAGACTGCGTCTGACTGAGGGAGACGAAGGGGGTCAGTGTCCTGGAGGCTGGAGAGGGTTTGCCGAAAGATCAGTTTCTTTTAAGGGGGTGTTTGGAACTGATTCTGCTTCTGCTTCTTTTTTAAAAGCACAAGCAGAATCAGAATCAGTTTTCAGAAGCTGGTACCCCCCATCTTCTAAAAAAACTGATTCTGAGAGTAAATTAGAGCTCCAGAAGTGCTTCTGGAATTTCACCCAAACACTCTAGCTTCTGCTTCTGCTCCCTGAAGGAGCAGAATCAGTTTTGAGAATCAGATCCAAACACCCCCTAAGTTCATATGTCTCGAAGGGGGGGAGGAGAAGTGATGGGGAAGACAAGAAGAAGGAGAGAGCGAGGGTTGTTTCTGGTTATTTACGGCCGGGATGGGGCGGCTGGAGAGGGTTTGCCGTCATTAACCCTTCGGAGAGGCGGAGACCGTGGAGTGGTCAAAAGTCTTCCCCAAGAGCTGAGTTTGCTATGTACTACGTGGAACTTAATGGAACTTGTTTACTTTGGAACTTAATGGACTGGAAATCACGACTTGTTCGTCCAGCTATATATGTATGTTTACTTATGACTTAATGTTATATAACTTATTCGGTCAGATCATTTGTGACTTAATCGCTCAGTCAACTTTTAATACTCCTTACGGTTCAGATGTATTTGAGTGTCGACGTTCTCGTTTTTTACCCTCAGCTCACTTCTCCTTCTTGATCACAGTTCTCCAAGGTATATCAACTGCCGGCATCATCATCCTCCAAAAATCTGGTCAATCGGAGCCTCCAAAGATCTAGAGCCTCTAAACGCCTTCGCAGATAAAGGAAGGCTTCGGCCTGGGGTGGAAGCTTCATATAGCAAGTTGAGCTCGTTCATATGTTGCTTCCCATATTGTTTTGAAAATATACAAATTGGGGGAGAACTGAGAAGAAATCAAAAATTGATGATTGCTGCAATACGATGGGTTCTTCACAAAAACTTTTGTTCCTTTCATCATCAATTTGTTATTTGTTGTTTTCTTTGCTGGGAGGAAATTGAGTTCTTGGGGCTGCAATTACAGATAGATCTATCAGTAGCAATTCACTAAAGAGGGCGGTTGGCTTGGGGTGAAGTGAGGCCTCAAACATGAAAACATTCCCTCAAGAATATGACTACCGAGTCCCAATTCGTTTCATGGTGTGCTAGATTTAGGAGTTGTAAACAATAAAATGAAGAGAGAATATACTTCCTCTAATAAAAATCTACTCATTTACTAATTTTGGTGTTCTAGGTTTGAATTGTTTTCCTGATTTTGAAATTTGGTGTTCTCTATTTGATTAATTGCTGATGTTCTACCTACCTATTTCCTCAACTTTACATTCCCTCTCATAAAAGGGTTATTTGGTCATTCCATATAATTCAGACTTCTCATTCAGCACACATAGTAAACAGTTTGTTATCTTAGTGTCACTTAATGCAGACAGACATCTTAATCCAAACAGACGTCTTAACTCATTCAGGACTTAATAAAAACACTCGCAGTATCCTCTCTTCTTTAATTTTTCTTTAATTCTCGCAACTTTCACGTTTGCTAACGCACAACTGACAAAATTATAAAAAGTTAATATTTTGAAAATTCACATTGATAGGAATTCAATAACATTTTGTACATAATAATTTGATTATGTATATTAGTAGAAAATCATGGTCAAAGTAAGATCTGTGAATAGTACAAAAATCACAATGTTGAAAGAATTAAAGAACGGAAGGCGTATAATCAGGGGCGGAGCTAGAGGGGTGGCCAACCGGGCCACGGCCCGCCCCAAATTTGAAAATTCTTTGTATTTTTAGTCTAAAAATTTATGTGAAAAAAATTATCTGGAAAATTCTTTGTACCGGCCCAGCCCAACCTTCAATCCTAGCTACGCCCCTGCGTATAATAAAGGGAGCTGGCGGCTAAGAGAGTGCTTGCTAGAACTTTTTTTAAGCACTTTTCAAATAAAAAAAAAAAACTAAAAAAAAGTGTTTGATAATAACATCGATTAAAAAAAAAAGTATTTTTGTGTTAAAAGCTAAAAGCTGAGATATACCAGTTTCAAAGTCTTCTAGGTATTTCGTAAACCTTTCACTTCAACCCAAAATATCCTCCTACCTGTTCTCTATTCTCTCTCCCCTACCTTCCTCTGTCCGCCGTCCAAAACACCCGCACATGTGCCTACCTTCCATGCAGCAGGGGTCGTTCAGGCCGATTAATCTTGGCTTCTGTTAATGTTTAAAAGTCAAAATTATGAACATATTTTTACTGAACACCAAAAGTAACCGATTATACTCTTGGATGAAATTAAAATCCATAACTTACACTTGGCCACAAGGTTTGATGAGAGACAAAAATCGGATGATTAGCTTGGAGAAAAAATCCAGAGAAGAAGAAACAATAAGCAAAGAACCACAAATAATAAAAAGTTAGCACCGTAAGGAAATCAGGTGAAGAATTATGCTGGCAAGGGGTGATGGTATGTGCGGATTTTTCACTAATGGGGTCAGGGGCGGAGCCAGAAAAATGACTCAGCGGGGGTCGAAATCAAATTTACGTAGAATCAAAACGGTAGATTATTTTTAGACTATACCTGAATTGAATGTAGCTTAGATAAATGATAGTTTAAATGAAACTAATAGAGTATATGTAGTTAATATACTTCGTATATGTCACATATATTATAAATAGGGCTGAGCAAGAACCGACCCGACCCGACAAAACCGAATTTTTTTTTCGGATATTATCCGATTGGGTACGGATATCCGACCCGCCAAACCGAACCCGAAATTTGGGCCAGCCTTTGGGCGGTTAAAGGGCTGCGGGTAGGGTTTATAAAACCCAGACCCGATCCGCCCGAAAACCCGAAACCCCAAAACGACGTCGTTTTGTATTTTATATATATACACACTTATACTTCTGACTTCGGCCAAACCCTATCCGCCTCTTTCTTCGATCTGTCTTCTACTCTTCGCTCTATCCTCTCTCTTCTCATCCTCTGTGACTGTGGCTCCGTGAGTTCTGCACTTCTGCCTTCAGTTCTCTAGACCTTACTCAGTTACTCTCCTTTGTACTCTCTCAGCCTCTCGTACTTTGATTTACTTTGGTATTTTGGTGGAAGCTCTGAGTGTGTCCCGTGTCCGCACACAGAAAGACTGAAACCCTAATCGCCTAATCGGTGCAAATCGTTCTTCGCTCGTTCGAAACCTATTTGGTGGAAGTTCTTAACCTAACTCCCTAAGTCCTAATTCTAGTCTCTGAGGTATTTATATCTACGGTTTTGTTGTGAATTTGTTATGTATTTATGTGTTGATAAATTGATAGTATGAATGTATGATGATGTTGATAATGTAATTCATGCTTAATACCCTTATACATTTGACGAGTGGTAATGAATCTATGATGATGTTGATGTTGATGTGTTAATGTTGAATAATATATGAATGTATGCTCAGTTGCTCCTCACTGACTAAGTGTTAAAAAAATGATTTTCTGAGTACTAAACTATGCATGTATGCCTAATGTTTGAATGATGATGGAGCCTGAGTTTTCATCTGAATTCTTAAAGTTGTATAATCGTATGCCAATATCATTTATTATTATGCATATGTGAATGATGATGAACTGAGGGTTGTCTTAAATTCTGAAACGTGTATGCCTAATGTTTGATTATGCATATCACTATATCAACGTATGTGATAATGTGAATGATGATGTAATGAGGCTTGTTCTTAGTTCTTAAAACTGTTTGCCTAAGGTATGATTAATTCATTATGCATATGTGAATGATGATGAATGATGGAGCCTGAGGGTTGTTCTGAATTCTTTAAGTTGTATGCCTAATGTTTGATTGTGCATATCAGCATATGTGAATGATGATGAACTGAGGCTTGTTCTGAATTTTTAAAATTGTTTGCCTAATGTATGATTAATTCATTATGCATATGTGAATGATGATGAATGATGGAGCCTGAGGGTTGTTCTGAATTCTTAAAGCTGTATGCCTAATGTTTGATTGTGCATATCAGCATATGTGAATGATGATGAACTGAGGCTTGTTCTGAATTTTTAAAATTGTTTGCCTAATGTATGATTAATTCATTATGCATATGTGAATGATGATGAATGATGGAGCCTGAGGGTTGTTCTGAATTCTTAAAGCTGTATGCCTAATGTCCGATTAGGCATATGTGAATGATGATGGACTGAGGGTTGTTCTGAATTCTTAAAGCTGTATGCCTGATGTTTGATTATGCATATGTGAATGATGATGAATGATGGCTTGTTCTGAATTCTTAAAGTTGTATACTTGTATGCCTAATATTTGATTATGCATATGTCAATACTGATGGAGCCTCAATGCCTTATGTTGCAATATGCATATGAGAAAGGTATATGAGCTATGTTTATATGTGCATACATGAATGATGATGGAGGCATGGAGCCTCAGGCTTAGCCCTGTTGTGTATTCTGAAAGGTAAAGTATGGAAGGTAAACAGTTGAATCCTCTATTATTTCTTGCATATAAAAGAAGCTACCTTTGTGACTCTAACACTCAAAGGAGTAGTAAGAGTCTATTGGTTCTTCTAAGTCTGTAGGGAAGAATTAAGCCTACTGCTTATTTTCTTCTGTAAATCAGCAAGCTGATTGTTCCAGACTATATGTTTATGAACTTAAAGAATGAAATTTGACTCTCATCCATCTGTGTTGAAAAAATTGTGAAAGCTTAAGGGTGGAAGCCTAATCTACCTGACTACCTATGTGTGTGCTTAATTACTTATTTACTTATATAGATGGATGGTCAAGATTGTGTTTCCATGCATGTATCTGGTGAACCTCCTCTAAGCCAAGAACCTGCAGTGGAAGCTCCCATTGTAGAGAATGCTGATACTACTCAACAGACTGATATACCTGTTGGTTCTGGCCAAAAGAGGAAACAGGTTGAATCCAGGTCCAAGATATGGGAACACTTTGTAAAGATTTTTGATGAAAAGGGAGTTCTTGTTAAAGGGAAATGCATATATTGTGCAAGAGTATATTGTTGTCATTCAAAAAAACATGGCACCTCATCTATAAGAAACCACATGCTTAGTTGTCTGAAGAACACTCATTCTAAGGACACTAGGCAAGCCCTTTTAACCTACCAACCAATCACTGCTGTTATTCCTACTGAAGAACCTACTGGGGTTTTAGGAACCTGGGTGTTTGACCAAACTGCAATTAGAAGAGCTCTGGCAGAAATGCATATAATTGATGAGCTTCCTTTTAGGTTTGTTGACAGGCAGGGTTTTAGAAAGTTTATGTCCATAGCTTGCCCTAGATTTAAAATCCCTTCTAGGTGGACCATTGCAAGGGATATTTACCAAATCTACTTAGATGAGAAGCTTAATTTGAAAAGGCTATTTAGGGAGACAACACAAAGGGTAAGTATTACTACTGACACATGGACCTCTGTACAGAGGATCAACTACATGTGTATTACTGCTCATTACATAGACCATCAATGGAAGCTTCAAAAAAAGATCATTTCCTTTGTCCAAGTTACTTCTCA